CTGACCTGCCAGATCATACAAGGTTTTGAAGTGAGAAATATTGTGAATAAGACAGGCAGGTGTGCTGTTTATTACAGATATGGGTGACTTTCAGATAAAGGAGACACTGAAAATATGTGCAATGCTTTTGACTGTCAGACCAGGAGACTTAAAAACCTTTTACATGTCACAGGAACACAATCCCAGATCGTTGTGTGTATAACACATCTATCCTTTGAAAAGAGAATATATTTGTTCCTTGTAGACTGCTCCTCTCAAGACACAGATGAATACTTTTCAGTTTAGGTTTTCAGATATGCACTATCACTCATTTTGATGCATTATATTTTATGGCACTTTTTAGTGTCCTTCTAATTTTGTATTTAAAAATCCCTCCCATATTACATAAACTACATGCCATTTTTTGTTAGTAGCATTAAGGCCAATCCAATTCTCTTTGATAAAGGTAATGCATACTCATAAATTCCTTTTGTTTTAGGTCTGAATAACATAAGTAAGTCTTCTTACTTTGACTATAGTATTTACAGACCCGCCAGCATGAGCCCAATGTCTTCACGCAGGCATAACTCCAATGAAATGATTGGGAGCCTCATGTAAATCTGGCTGGTGTTAATAACTTTCTTCTGTTATTATTCCTTTAAACTACTCATTGCTATGTAGTAGATATTTTTACTTGAGCCTTATTATTTTCTGCTTCCCTTTCTCTCATCTAGTCTTCCAAAATGATATTGCAAGTTCATAAGAAAAAGTAACCTCTGCTTTCATCTCTTCTGCTCCCAAAGGTCACAACCAGTCTCTTTCTCCCTCGTGCTCTGGCCGAATTTTCTCAGTACTGCTGTTACTACATACAGCCATTGTAGATGAGGTCGCAATCAGCTGGCATTTGCCCGTTTCTTCCTCTAGATTGTGAATATCTTTGGAGTCTGGAGGCGTACCTAGTTATTACTTACCACAGTAACCCAAGGTGTACCAGACACATATTAGGACCCTCCCTAAGAAATGTTGGATTGTACCTTCCTGCAAATGAAATCATGGAGTACCTGGGCTGCTAGCAAATCTCATTTTCTTGAGTTACTTTGATGGCAATGTGAGATAACTGGAAGAAGCTAGTTTCAGATGAAGGAATGTGACAGGAGAGAGTACACTTTCATCTCCCAGCAACTTCCATCTGTACTCGCAGGATGCTGATTCAGAGATTTTTGGGTACAGAACACCACAAATTCCCTGGGCAATTTTTATATATGGGAAATAATAACAGCCAACATTTTTTGTTCATGCTATGTGCTAGATAGTTGAAGGCACTTTCCATCCTCATCCCTTTTATTCCTTGCAATAACCCTATGAAAAAGATTGTATATTCTCTTATATGTGAGAATAGAAAGAGACAGGTTAACTAACTTACCCAAGAACATCTGTAAAATGGCGCAACAGACCCATGCTTGCTCCTGTTCCCGATTGAGGCCACGTCTTCTTTCTACTCTGCTACACTTCCACCCACTGCCTTCACTGATTCGCTCTCAGACTTAAATGGTTTCTGGCAGGATATACCAGACTAGGAACAGTGAGGACCCAAAGATAAGGCAGACATGAAGGAAGGGTTGTTTGCTTTAATAATCAAGCAGAGCCTAGAACCTTCGGGAAGATTCTCTCAAAGGAAATCAGGAGGCCATACTCTCTTTTCCTGTCATTTTCACCTTCCCCATGAGGCTCTATCCCTTCATGTTCCTTTTCCAATACTCTACTAAGGAGACACTGACGATCATTTTACCCTATGACTTAAAGGGTGACATGAAGGGGGAATCCCCTTTTTTAGTTCCATTAACACAACAGAGACCACTGGAACTTGCTAAATACCAAGGGAGAGCAAAAGGAATATAAACGCAATTTTAGAACATATTAGCATTTAGAACATATTAGCAATTTAATCTATAAATTCCAGACTTCTGTTCTACCTGACTTCATCTTCTGCCAGAACTGGCAGAGCCTTTATCTTCTGTTCATTTCCTTCAACATTCATATATTAGCACAGAGGATCCTAATGGTTTTTTCCATTATGAGGGCAACTTTTACTTATTTAGTATAGAGAAAACATTTATTGTACATAGGAATTTTTAGGCCCCTTTCAATTACTATACCCGTCATTTCTACCCCTTCCTGGTATCTGCATTAGCTCTAACTTTGCACATGTTTAGCTTCTTTCTATGCAGAGGGTGCTGTATTATTTCCCTCTGCCCAGGACCTCCTTCTGAGTATTTACAACAAAACCGGGTTAAGGCCAGGTAGAGAGACTTCCTTTGTCTCTTTTTTAAGGCTGTCTTACAGGCCCAACTTCTTAAGAAATACGCCCCTTCCTTAGATTGACACGAGGAATGGAGACCCACCAATGTTTGGCCTTTTGGTCAGAAGAATGGAAAGGTCCCAACTATAGTTTTTAGTTGAAGACTCAGGAAGGCAACTAAGCTCATGGCCCAGGCTCAAGGGAGAGAGGAGCAGTAAGAGGAATCCTATTCAGTGGTAGAGGGCAGTCAGACAAAAGACTAAGGTTGACCAGACCTAGCAGCAGGAAGCAAAGATCTAGTCTTGGAGATTGGGATTTGGAAGTCAGGTGCCAATCCCTGAGTGGACTTTCAAAAGCCAGGATTTGAGCCTTAGAGGAACTTGGGTACAGGACCGAAGGAAGACTAGCAGCTAAGACTAAGTTGATGTTGGCTGATAAGAGTCAAGAATGAATGGTGCCAGAGCCTGCTAGTAGACCATCGTATTGATGATCACAGTACCTAAAATGTAAGGAATTAGCAGGATACGGTAAGACGACATAATCAAAATTCCAATTGGCAGTTGCAGTCTCACCCGTTATTATAGTTTGATTGCTGGTTAGTTCAGTTAGGTGAATAATGTCAGGACAAGGGTATGTTTCCTCCCTCTGGAATCAGGGTAGGAGGGAGGTAGTTTGAAAAAACATTGATCGGTATTGTAATATAATTTATTACTCATGGGGAAAATAGCCCCATTGTTTTTATAGTATAAATTTTAGAAACTGATGCTTGACAAGATCTTTTTGGCTAATGGTAGGAAATAGAGTGATTCATTCCAAGAAAGGGAGTGAATCAATCTCCTCGGGAAGATGAGCTATGTTTCCCCAAAGGAGGCGTTGGCGGCTTGACTCCTAACTGGATTTTTTGCCAGATCTCACAGGCATTTTACCTCCCTGGTTAGATGCAGGATAAGATTCTCTGAAAAGAAAACCCCATGGTAGGCACCTTCTGCTAATTGGGAAGACAGTTAATTCAAGCCTTTTAGTATAGGTGGATCTCCAAATTCTGTCTCATGTGTGACATTTATTTTAAAAATGAAATGCTGAATTAAATCAGCTATGGAGACCTGGCTTTCCCTGCCTAGGGTGCTTATAATATAGATTCACCTTTGGTCACACAGAACTTGATTGTCCAGATTGAAGAGGGAACTGTTTAATAACCTCATTGTACATACCTTCACCCATATCATCACATCTCCCAAAGGGAGTGAGTGACTCTTTAAGTTAGAGTGGCAGAAGGACTGATTCTATTGAGACCTAAGAAGCATTTATTCTTAGACCAGTAGCCAAGACTGAGTTGACATTGACTGACAAGGGCCAAAAAAATGGTCAAAGCTTCCTATAGGATCAGCCTATGAGTGTGATCACAGTGCCTCAAATGTAGGAAATTTGAAATATATACAATAATGAGACAGGCACATAATTAAAATTATAGTCACTTTTTTTTTTTACTAAAGTCAATGTAATTTCTGAGTGTGATAGAGATAACAGATTTATATTTATAGGTAAAGTAAAGGAAAAATTTAAACTATATTTAAACAATGAACATATTACAATAGTTTTAAGGTGACCAATTATAAACTGCTTAAAGACTGTAATGAAATATAAAATGTTAGTGCATTGAAGGCTCCTAGTGCATTAATATTTGTTGCCTGCTTAAATTGTTTTGTGCATACTTTGAATAAAGATTTTTGTTACCTATGTTTAGTTGAAGAATAGTTTGACACAGCAGGGTGAAAAACTGAGAACTGTTGTTCTTTAAAATTAATCGTCTGTATTAATTGGACATTTTTCAGTGTTCTGCAAGCAAAAAGAAAATATACAATGCTGAGACAAATAGTGTCTGTAATGCTCAGTTTGAAATTTTGGGGTAAATCAAAGCAACCTTATTCTCATTAATTTTATAGTGGGTAAATTCGGTAGTCAAATTGGATTTTGTAAAATATTTTTAATAACTAAAAACTTTTTTTTCCTGTTTTTTGCATTGGAGTTTATTATTAAGATCTTGTTGGAAAATTATTATGCTGCTTTAAAAACATTTTAACAGCAACTACAAAAACACTTCAAATATTTGGGCACACCACACCAAAGAATGCTACTTATTGCAATATGTCACAGAAATGGAGTTTTACAATAATGTCCAACATTTTCATATTTAAGAATGTGATCTTATTTTTCCTCCTGTTCAATTTAAGTGATTAAAAAACTATTTGAGAGCTTAGTTGCAGTGCTGAATGTTAACTTCAGATTATTTTGTGACTAAATTTTTCCAGTAATAACTCATTCAATTAGCACTTCAAGCCCAGAAAGCTTATTTGTGAACTCTAACAACTTCAAGTTGGGAGAGAAATTATTTTATCTTTGATTTGCAGGTAGAGACAAATTGAACTGCGGAACCCTTTTTTGTATGTCATAAAAACGTTATCCCAGGATGTCCTACTTCTGGCAGAGCCAAAGGGTGGCCTATTTTTGTCTTGGTGCTTTGAATGGGGCTTCTCTTTGGCAGGGGGCATCCTGTAAACCAACCGTGCTGGCCTTCTTCCCTATTGTAAAGGAAGTGCTCTTCCTGTCCTTATCAATGTTGGGGTTACAATTTCACAGGGCTCTAAAGCTGCCAGGAGACACGGGAGATTCTAAGAGGCTGGGCTGGCATTAATAGAAACTGAAGGCAGGAGCCTGAGGGCAGCCTGTGGGTAGGAAAAGGGAGGAGAAAAGCATCATCCTTGCTGTGGATTTTTCTTCCTCTCTCATTTTCCAGTGTATACAGAACATTACATTTTAATGTCAAGGAAGACAGAATGATGTTATCAAAAGGTACAGTCCTTGAGAAGTTTGTATTCCAAGTCGACATAACAGTTCAGTACCTATAATCCAACCTATTATGATTTAGTAGATGAACAGAAACTCAAAGGAAGCATCCAGTTCTTTGTGAATTTAAATCTACACTTTCAAACGGGAAGGGAAGAAAGTGGTAGACAAGAATGGTTTTTAAAAGGCCTAATTTGCATATAGGAAAAAATATGCCAGCTGTTTGATTCATTGTTGAACCTAAAATGATGAGAAACCTGTAAACCAGTCATATTTGGTCTGGCTGTAAATTTATATTTCATTTATTTTCAGTGTCTAGTTATGAACAGTAACCAGATTTTAGTAAGTCACATGGGAGTTAAAATGGGAATATCTAGAATGATTGCTAATATTTAGGCATAAAATTTGAAAAATGATTTTTATGACTTCAGAAACAATCACAATCAGGGATTTCTCTCCCTCTCTCTCTCTCTCTCTCTCTCTCTCTCTCTCTCTCTCTCTCTCTCTCTCTCTGTGTGTGTGTGTGTGTGTGTGTGTGTGTGTGTGTGTGTGTGTGTGTGTAGAGACAGAGAAAGGCTATTTTCTATTGGTTTGGTCTAGTGTCGAAAAAGGTCCATTTTCAGTCAGAGTATAGAAGAAAACAAAAAAAGTAAAGGGGAGTTTAACTTCTCAGACATTTATTCAGCCATTTTTTTTTTCATGTGTATTTTCTAGATCCTACCTGAATCCCAAGATCATTACTGTTTAGCTTTGAAGTTTCTAAGACATGGAGGATTTGGCAGTCACACGCACGCACAGACAAATTTGGGACACTTTAATTTTCTTTGAGGACAGAACACCACAAAGACTATTTAAATGGCTGGAAAATGTATTTAAATTCAACAAAGAGTTCTTAACTTGATGGAGTTAGAATAGATTTTGGAAGTAGGTCATAGATATTTCTTCTCCAGAAAGCATCTGTGCAGAGTGGTGAAAGAGGGTGAGAAGAGCCCCTAGTCTGTGCTGGCACTTGCCAGCAGTGTGCGATTCAGTCCTCAAAGCTATTTTGTAGATTGCATGTTATTATCGATACTGTATGAAGGATTAAATGGGTTGAGAGGTTAAGCAACTTGCCCAGGCTTTTATAGCTAGTAAATCCTGGAACCGAGATTCAAATTCAAGACTTTCCATTTCTAAAGATTGTGTTTTTTCACTCCATTGTGCAACTTCCCCTAGAGATCATTTTCATAAATTTAGTTTTCTTTAAAACTACCAATTGGATTTGCAGAGTTTCTTTCAGCCCCTGCTGCCATGTGAAACAGAGGAGATGTCTCACTGATGTGGTCAGCAGTCCCTCGGTACCACAGAAAACGTGACAGGGTGATTTGGCCCAGGTATATGTGATAGCATTCTTCTCCAAAAGCTGTGAGCACCTGTATAGCTGGAACTCAGTTTATGTAGAACTTTCTGGTAGTCATAAAAGAAACAAGCCTTCCCAGCACAACTAATAAAAGGAGAAATTAAATGAGAAGAAAGAGACACCCAAATCTGCAGGAAACCTGCAAACAATTTTAAATCAAAGGTGCACTTTTGGAAATCTCATTTTAAAAATGTAAAAACTCACATAATTGGACTGGGCTTAAATTTCTGGGAACCTTTATAAAGTTTGGAGGAGCTTAACATGAGAAGATTCTCTTTGTGAACTGCAGTTGGCATTCCTTACTCTGGTAATATTAAGAAGATTGATTATGAGGGTTCCACCTCCTTTTAAGGCAATTGAAGGGGAAGAAGACCAGTTCTCTAAGGTTCCTCTTTAGTTCACTGTGGATAGGATATCAAGAATACTTAAAGGGTATGGACAGTCACAGTGACTAAGGGCAGAGGCTGAGGTGGGAGAATTGCTTAAGTCCAGAAGTTTAAGACCGGCCTTTGTAACATAGAGACACCCTGTCTCCATAAAAATCAGAAAATTAGCTAGGTGTGGTGGTTTGCACCTGTGCTCCCAGCTATTCAGCAGGCTGAGGCAGAAGGATTGCCTGAGGGCATAAGGTCAAGGCTACAGTGAGCCATGATCACTCCACTGCATTCCAGCCTGGGTGACAGAGGAAGCCCCTGTCTCAACAAAATAAGAAAAAAAGAGTACAATGCGTGATTTCTTTTTTCAGTGATGCTTTTGAGAGATCCAGCAGAGAATACTGGCTGGGACTTTCACCAGAGCCTCATTCTTTCAGGTGGCTTTACCTTTCCTGCAGCTCCCCTCTGCTAGCTTTAGGTTGCAACGATTATTGCTACCTGCATCAGAATGCAGGTGTCTATAGGAGGTTCTCATCCAAGATGAGAGGAAGTGCCAGGCTGCCTGAAGGTATTTCCCACACTCGCCAAAGCTCTCTTCTAAAGAATGATATCACTGTTGCCAATGAGCAACACTGACAGTGCACAGCCATCCTTGCCTCCTGTGAGAACCTCATCCCACAGGAACAACCCTGGTTGCTATGAAGAAACCACAAGAAAAGAACCTCTCTGGTACCGAGGGTGCACGTAGCTGTGGTGGTTACACTGAAATCAATAAGGGCACAGCCCTGGCAGCATGAATTGCCAAGAAATGGTTCCTTGGAGTTTGTACCTGGGGAAAGAGTGGCAAAAAGAGTTCCAGAGCTGATCGATCCACTCTGCTGGTGTGCACTGTGTGTACCGCTAGAGGCTGGATGTCACCATTCTTACCCCCGGGGTAATGGGAATGTCTAGAAATTTAAAGATAACATTTTCAATGAATTTGCAGAAACATATTATTCCATTTTATTCCCCCGAGAAGGCAAAGTACTTCAGCAGAGTTTATAGAGCAAGACGGAGCAAACGTGCCTCACACCCATACGCTGGTGAGACTCCACTCTGTTTCTAGAAGTAACCTTGCCACAGGTCCTCCAGTGTATGTTCAGTGTCCTGGAAGACAGTGGAAACCCTTGGGATACACTTGTCAAATCCTTCAGTGATGGCAAGAATCACTCAGTTCCTCAAGTGACTTCTTTTTCTCAGGCTCTGCCAAAGGGTAGCTCCACACACACCCGCAGACTGTGAGCCATGAGAACAAACAGCCCAAAGACGACCACATTTGGAGCTGCCTAGAGGCCCAGCACTACCATAATGCCAGCTAGTCCTTGGGCCCTAGCAGATTGCCCTGGTCTGGGTACTTATAAATACCTTCATGGGTACAGGCAATTGGGGATGTTGAGGAAAAGACAAAAAAGTCTGATTCTGTGTTCTGGGTAGGAAGTGAAGCTTACATTTTGCTTCTCCCTAGCGTGAAGCAGCCTAATGTTGCTTCTGTACTTTTCCTGGATCCCCATGTGTTCTTCAAAATGCATGTGATCCAAAGCCATCTTTCCAGATTCACTTCCTGTTTTATCCTCTAAGGCATCTTATACTCCAGACCAAAGAGATCACTCTTTTTTTTTTTTTGATTCATCATGCATTTTCATCCCTCTTGATTTTTTTCACTAATTTTTCTCCCTTACTGTAAGTTCTCTTTCCTCTCCTACTTGTCTCTTCAGGCTGGGCTGCTAGCCTACTTCTTTGGCTAACTATGCTTCTTCCTATAAGTTGAAATTATTCCAGGGGTGTGCTGGAGCTAGCTCGTACTGGCTAGAAAGAGCTGATTGCTGATTGTTAAATATTCAGTAATACTTTTGGCAGCTCAAAATCAGCCATGATGGAAGTGTTTACATCATGGAAATTGGCAAATACCACAAGTCAGAGCTTGTTCATTCTCTCTGTCTGTTTTTCTTGAGACAGGGCTTCCACCTGTCACCCAGGCTGGCTGGAGTGTGGTGGTGTAATCCTGGCTCACTGCAGCCTTCGCCTCCTGGGCTGAAGTGATCCTCCTGCCTCAGCCTCTCAAGTAGCTGGAACTACAGACACTCTACCATGACTAGCTAATTTTTCATTATTTGTAGATATAGGGTCTTACTATGCTGCCCAGGCTGGTTTTGAACTTCTGGGCTCAAGCCATCCTTCTGCCTTGGACTTCCAAAGTCTGGGATTATAGGTATGAGCCACTGTGCCCTGCCTCTTTATCTTTTTCTCGCTTTTCTTTCTCATTTCCTCTTTTTTCTTTCCATTGCACCACTGAATTTTTTGGTGGTGTAGACTTACAGAGCATTTTATGTTTACCTCTATTTTAATATTTTAAACATCTATTATGTAGTTATGTAAAACAGCCATCACTTGTGCTAGATTTTGAGTCCCTTGAGACCAAAGGAATATTCTGTATTCTGGAAGAGATATGGAGTTGTCTTATTTCTCACAGCACCTAATCCATAAAAGGCTCTCAGTAAATGGAGTAGGGTGAATAAATGAAGAGAGTAATGCCAGTGTGCATTTACTGAGCCTCCTCTGTCCCAGCAGCTCTGTGAAGGAGGTATGATTATTGGGCCCTTGTATGGAAAGTAACTGAATCTTAGAAAGGTGAGTATCTTGCCTAAAGTCTCACAACTCATAGGTGGACCCCAGCAGTCTGAGCCTGAATCCAAAATTCTTAAGCACTACGTGAATGAGACAAAATTTCCTATCCCAGACTGAGCTCTGCCATCCAATAGCGTAGCCCCTGGCTACTTATGGCTACTAAACATTTGAAATATGGCCACCCTGAATTGAGAAGTACAAAACACATACCAGATTTCCAACATTTGCTGTGAAAAAAAAAATGGATGTTTAAATATTGAAATGTTAAAATAATAATGTGAATGTATTGGGCTAAATAATATCTATTAATAAAATTCATTTTTTATAGCTTAATGAGGGTACTAGAAAATGTATGGGTAATATATGTGCCCAGCATTATATTTTCATAGAAATATACACTACTGTCTCCTAGGACGTGGAACTCTCCTCTAGCCACCTTATTACCATACTAG